AAGAAAGGGAGGGAGGGAGAGAGAGAGAGAGAGAGAGAGAGAGAGAGAGAGAGAGAGAGTGAGGTTCGCTTGGCGCGCGCTGCTGGCAATAGTAGAATCATGCCCAAGACGTGTGTGCTTCGTACGAAGTACGTTTCATGCCCCTTTTACTTGCCATTCGGCTCTTTCCCGCGGCTCTAAAAGTATCTATTCTTAACCTACCCCGCCGGCGAGCGACCCGTAGAAGCCGGTCTACATCGGTGCGCTGTACGCAAACCCTGCAGTGGAAGCGATCGATTCGTCCTAGGTGTTCCCCGAACTCTCGACCTGGCCATCTTTCATCTTGCGAAGGCCCCCACGTGAACCACAAGTGGTGGCCAGTGCATCCGCCCAAAACGATCGAAACACCCCGCCGAAAGACTTTCAGACCCCCTACAACAACAATCGGAGCGCCCCTTCCCCCCATCTTTTCTCTCACCACTGCTCCGTGGCCTTGTTCTGGACGTGAGCGCGGTAGCAGCCGGCCGAGAGGGGGTCCGTCTGCCCCTCCTTGCCCTGCCCTGGGGGGCTGTCGTGGCAGACGTTGACCAGGAGGTTGTACTTGGTCGCTAGGAGCTCGGGCACGGTTTTGATGAGCGTATCCCGTACCTTCTCCTCCAACTCCCTTATTGTGGTTTGGTTTGTTTCACGGCAAAAAAAACATACGAGTAGGGGGGTTCGTAACGCACAAAGTGGCGGGGCAAGAATTGACGTCGAGGTTTGCGCGGTGACACTGGGGCGCGCCTGTTTGTGGCACAGCGAGACTGGTTATGCTGCCAGTGTTTTCGTGGGGGGACGTCTCGAGGAAGGATATATAGCACCATGAGTTATCGGCTGTGTTTCTTCTGCGTCGCTTTCTTGATTTTCGTGTTAAAAGGGACCTTGATAACGGCGGTAGGCGTGTGGCGGAAGACGTCTTGCGTTAGCCCGAACGGCAACAGACTACCACTTCCCGAAGCACCGTTATTTCAGGGAGTAGAAATACACCTACCTACCAAGGCGGAGGGCAACAACGCGGAACTCCTTGCGGGAAACGAAGAGAAAACCCCGCTGATCTATGAGCAAACCCCTAACACCTGCAAGCAGTGGGACAATTTCAAGGGTGCTCGGCACAGTCCTTGCTGACGACAAAGGCCTCAATCTATTAGCAAATCCGAAGATCTGTGACCAGCGGGCGTTCAAGGGGGGGGGGGGG